CCATTTATAAACAGGTTCAATGTACGATCACTCTGTGATAAGAATAATAATGGGGATCTACTCCCTCTTTTCTTGTCACAAGTGAATGTTAATTCTCTATTGATAAAATAAATAAAGCTTATAAAAATTCGGCTAAAATTAGGATTTATATCAAAATAAAGAATGCAATTAGTTTTGAGCGGTGTTTTGAATGACACGTTGCTCGCAAAAGTGGAACGTAAAACAGCAGATTTATGGCAAAAAACCGATACACGTCGTTTTCGAAGGTTTGCCGGAGGAGTATATTTTAAAATAGGAATAGCTTTTGCTACTTTTTTTTGTCGAAAATTGCTCAAAACATATTCCATAGCCTCAGTTTTTCTCAGGGATTCATAATATACGACACAAAGTAGATGTTAAGTTTTTTCCCATCAAACCTTTGTTTGACATTATGCCTGACTGCGTGACGAAATCCTTTTAAAAGTTCACCGTGCATGTCAAAAAATAGGCGTGTTAGTAAGATACAATGGGAAAAGTACAAGAATCTAAATGCCTTCTTTTTGAATCAACAATCAATTGATATAATCGACTCACATTCAAAAGCAAGCTTTTTCTCAAACGAAAATTCGATGCTAACTTGAATAAAAACCGCTTTATTGGGTAACACGTAATTACAAACAAAAAAGCTGTATATTCTGCCAAGTGCATAGGGTAAGAATCATCCAGCATGATAGAATCATTGATATCTCCAAAAAAGTGTATATTTTTCTGACCATGTAAAGTATCCAAGACATTTTGGACAGGCTTGACGTTCTGTACAATGCCGTTTTGCCTGCTCTTCAAAAGTTAGAAATGCTGCACTACATATACATTTACACTTAGCCGTCCGTAGGCGGTCGTGGGTTTGCTTGGGTCCTTTATATGTTGACGGCACTATTGATGATGGTGTTTCAGCCGATGATGGAACTGTGGGTGTAGGTTGCGAAACGGGAGATTGGTCGTTGATTTTAAATGTAGCATTGTCCTCTTCTAAATCGCTAAGTAATTGTTCGCAAAGAGAAGCAGTATTGTTTGAAGAAGATGAAGTAGGTGGAACTGAGGGTGGAGTGATGGCAAGTTGCGAGTTCTCTTGGTGGTGCTCTACAAAGAAATAAGAGAAATACACGGGTCATAGAAAAACGTGATAGTGTTATGAGATAAAAATCAAATGCATCTACTTGGTATAAAACATAGCACCGAGAGTCTATCGTAGTCAAAAAAGTTGTTCTTGACACCAGCTCCCAGTAACGAGAAATAGATCAAGGTTTTCTAATGAAACGCGGCCTTCAAGAGAGGATTTATGGTTTTCTTTACATAAAGACCGAAGATATGAAAAATAGCAGCTGAGGAACAAAACCATCGCTCAACTTAGGTAACGAAGAAAATTCCGATAGCCAATTTTTATAAAACGGCCGAAATTGATAGGAAATTAAATTTGGAGCAAAACAAATCGACCCACAACCACACTTCAAATGCTGAAACATTGCAAACGAATCTTCTGATATCGGAAAAATCGCGTTTGAGATACTGTTACGTTGTATCGTGTTAGTCCTGAGACATGAGAGGAACCTCGCTAAGATTGAATTATACTTAAGATTTAGTTATCTATCGATCTCCATCATTTTTAGAAAATTTGGTTTTGCGAATGTTTTTTAAATTGCTGGTTTTCTGGAAAAACTTCTGTACAGTCATCCCAAAGGTTTTCTTAGTTGGATTCAGCATTATCAGTAACATAAAAATACAAGTTTTCAGCTTGTTGCAGCGAAATATGGCTGAAATACAGTAGAGTCTGATTTGTGAACATCTGCAATTTACATAACATTTAGATATTCAGATATTCTAATATTCAAATGTCAGATATTTAGAGGGACTGAGAGGGGAAAGGGACGGGGAGATGAGAGTGAGCGAGAAGAACTGAAGATCTTAACATCTGAATATCTAAATATCTAAGGTTTGAGTATCTGAATTTTTACACACCTAGATATTATGTAAATTACAGATATTTATATATTGAGATGCTAAGATCTTCAGTTCTTCTCACTCACTCTCATCTCTCCGCCCTCTCCCCCCAGTCCCTCTTAATATCAAAGTGTCTACCATTTGAATATTAGAATATCTGAATATCTAGATGTTATGTAAATTGCAGATATTCACAAATCGGACCGGTCTCGAATAATGGAAAATTAAACACACTAAAAACACACAGATTTTTAGCTTGTGAGACGGCAAATCTTTTGATATAAGAAACAAGTGCTTATCTCTGAAATACTAGGATTAGATAGGTTTGCAAAGTGAATTTTTCTCTTTCGATAAATGCCGCTCAGAAATGCTAATGCAGGTAAGAAACTACGTTTCGCGAGACTAAAAGACCCTCGTCTAACCAAGTTGTTTACGCCAGTTTCAAATATATAGTGGTACTCTCTCTAGCTCATCAGGAAACGATTTTTATCGGAGCCATGCGCGTTTGTGATTTTTGTCATGTTTATAGAGATAGCATTTGTCTCTACTAAGATTTTGATCGACACCGACTTGAAAAAGCGATATTCGAGATCAGCGTCTCTAGACAAATCTCAATGTATATTTATATATAAAGTCAAATAAAAAGATTACTGGGCTTCTGCATTCTTTACAACTTACTTGATTTACAGAACGACAGGGAAAGAAAAAGTTTTTTGTAGACTAACGCTACCTTTTCACAACGAAAAACTGATCAGTTATAGCAAAAAAAGACAACTGATTGATGACTCAGATACAAATGAGTCATTCCTTTTTTTCGTCTGGTGAAGATGATTTAACTTACGTCTTAGAAAATTTGCTGTATTATGACATTCGATAATTTCAAATGCACGTATCAAGTAGGACAAGTCACCATTCGATATTTTTGAACGGTCAAAGAGTTCTTCAAATAAATCTAATATCGATGAATCAGATTTATCCTCACGTACTCTACGTGAAACACTTGTACCGAGTACAAACTGTAATTCTCGACGACTTTTTCCACTTAGTTGATTTTCAATTTTTACTAAGATTGCACGTACATTCATTTCAGAATCATTCATTGTGATTTCGTTCGATTTCGTTCTTTTTATTTGACTT